TTGTATCTATTTTTTTGCTCCTTTTCTGAAAGTGGACAGCAAAAGGCAGAAAAAGTGATTGTCCGGTATCACCTAATGGTTATTAAAAAATAATGTCGATATTTCTGTCAAAAACAGTAAAGAACAAGGGCAGGAAGCATTTTTGTACTATAATACTTCTACCCTGTCATACTAAGTCAAAATGAGATCCTGTATCTACGTTCATCTTAGTGGACAGGGATCTCATTGTATCAGCTCCAGCAGCAAATATGTTGGAACCCATTGCAATTTGTTAGAGTTTGTAGATGCCAGAGTTTGAGTCCCTTGTATCTCTCTCTTGATTAAGCAGACAGTATTTCAGGGCTTTTTTTTTAAATTGGCTCCTTGCCATGGTGCTGCTGCAAATTGTGTAATTAACTATCGAGTAGGGTATATTAGATGCTCAGTTTTGTTTGGTTTGGGCTAGTGATAAATGGAACTAGTCTTTATACTTTGACTCTGGAAGTAAAGGAGAGCCAGTCTCTTTTTGAAAGTAATGAGTATGAAAATGCTACACAGAGGCTGGTGGAGTCTTACTTCAAAATCTCAGAAGTGTGTAGAACTCTGTACCCATTTACAGCAGGTAAACCGAATATGTCTGTAATTTGCCAGTAACTGTGTAGTTATTAAATGTGTAGCAAATATTTGACTGGGAACAATGATAATTGCTTTATAGCGTAGTTCTGCTTTGCTGCAAAGTTCTTGGATGTTCTTTAATTTGTTGTCTTGTGTTTAAACGATCTGTGTGATGATGAGTATATGGTAGTTCCCATGGATGGATTTAATTTTTCGTGTTCTTGTAGGTCCTGCGAGTATAGGCTTACTCAGCCCAGGCATATTGGAATATTTACTTCACAGCTTGGTAAGTGTCTGCGATCTTTTTGTATGTATCCATACATAGCAATATAATGCTTTTTTTTTTTTTTTTAATTATTGTGAAAAGTTAGGGTCATGTTTGGTAAATACTGGTAACGTATGTTATAGGAAGCTGAGATTCCAGAGAGTCTGTGGGATCTCCATCCTTGGAGATAATTAGAAGTCAATAGGACAAGGCATTGAGCAGCCTCTGCTCAAACTAGCTCTCCACAGGAGGGTGGACTAGAGGAGCTCTGGAGGTTCCTTTCAACCTAAAGCATTCTGTGACAGACTAACAGCTTTTCCTGTCCATCTGTGCTGGGTATTTATTAAATAACTTTTCTTACTGCCCATGTTTAGAACTTCCAGTCCCATCCAACAGTGATGCTTTTTGCACTAATAGCACTGGAGAAGTTTGCACAAACAAGTAAGTAATAGCCTGATACCGCTCTTAACAGTCATACTATGGCTTCTACTGCATGATTGTCACTTGCTTCATCTGATAACACTTGTGAGCATGAGAAAGACTGGATTGGTGGAAACACAAATACAGAAGAGAAATGTTTGTCTGCTTACACGCAAGAAGAAGTATTTATTGCTTTAGTGACATCCCTCTACCCCTCAAAACCCTGAGATACTGCTGAAACTCAGTGCAGTCCTTCCCAGTTAGAAATTGCTGTAGAAGGACTTATGACGTGAGGCCTTTGTCACTGAAATAAATCTGTATTAGAGATGGAGAACAGCTGTGATTAGGTGTTTGCAGGCAGGAAAAAATATTTATTGCTTTAATGACACCCCCACACATAAACCCTTGAGATTTGCTGAAACTCAGTCCTTCTCAGCTTAGAAATTGCTACATAAAGACTTATGACATGAGACCTTTGTTACTTGAAAAGAAATAAATCTGTATTAGAGAGATGGAGAACAGACTATGGAGAATAGTCTCTTGATGATGCAGCTCCAATACTGAGAAGTGGTGTATCTGAGTGCTAAGTTAATTTCACATCTGCTTGGGAAGGAATTTCATGCTGTTTGTAATACCGAGGTTTGAAGGTGTGTGGGGGGGTTCTACTGCATTTGTAGAATGTTGCTATTTTTAACTAAACTTGTCCCTAGTATATAGCAATTATTCTTTTTTGCTCTTAAATTGCAGGTGAAAATAAAATGACAGTTTCTGAATCGTGCATTACTGACCAACTGATCTTGCTAGAGAAATGGACAGATAATCCAGACTATTTAAAACGCCAGGTTGGATTCTGTGCCCAGTGGAGTTTAGACAATCTGTGTAGGTATAACAAAGGGATGGATTCATCTAATATTAAGCACTTCTCCAAAGAGATGGAGGACTACTTTGTGTTTGTTTTGTATAAGCGCTTATTGTAAATATACCCGGCTGCATTTGTAATCACTCTCCTTCAAAAAAAAAAAAAAAGGCAAATAAATCCAGTGTAATTGCATGGAAAAGAAATTTTGGCAAAGAAAATGTTTGTGAAAGGAAGTGATTTGTACTCTGCAAGTTGGAGCTGCAATGAAAATTCTTCTTTGCACTGTATCTCCTGTAACTCATGCTTCAGCAGATGTGCTAAGTAGCTAAATAGTGCAGCTCTGTCTCTCTGTGGAACAGCTGGATTACTGACATATCCTGGTGACAGTCACTACTGTGATCATACCCCGGCAGTCACAGTTTCAAAGAATTATTAAGGACTTTTTAAAGTAAAGATACCAGTCTTGTGATCAAAAGTGGGAAGTGTTTGACAAAGCACTTTACTAGGTCTGTCCTTTTAGATGACTAACAGTCACCAAATTCACTTGTCTAGTTGTGATTTCGAGGGTGCAGCAACTCTAAGGACCTTGTAGTTTCTAATGCCTTTTAGATAAATTTGGGTAAAAGGTCTTGTTGGGCTGTATGGGGCTTTAGCCAGCTAATGGAAGGCCAATGTCAGCTAAGTTTAGTAAATGTCTGTGTAAGTGTTGTAGCAAGTTTGTGATATATGAAGGGTCCTAAGACAAGATCTCTGATTTGTAAATTAACATGCATATGTCAGCAATTTGACAGCTGGCAAGATAAATGCTTCTGATCCTTCCATGTGAAAAGGGGATGCAGGGGAAAAAGAGCTGCTTTGGCTCAGTTCAAGTTCATCACCTACCTGAAAATGAGAGGGTAAAAAACTTTAAATCCTTGTTTTCCCCATCCCCAAAATCTTTTCCACTGTGATGAATCAGAAAAACTCTGCCCAAGTGAGTATACAAATATAATGGTAAATCCTGAAACAGTGGCATCTTGGTATGAACTTGGATGCCTTACGTTTGCCTGTGGGTTTCCTGAAAGTAGATTGTAGGAGCTCTAGTCAGAGGTATAGGTCATGGTCTCATGTTTAGAGGATATTTAACACACAGTGTATTGGAAGTGATGCTGTTTTCATGCAGGCAAAATGTCAGTATTTCATTCAGTTATGCCAAAAATTAACTGGATCCTAGAGAGATTGATTGCCACTGTGTGAAATGTTTAAAATAATCACTGCTGCAGCAAAACTTTAAAACTAGTTTTATTTTGCAGTTTTAAAAGAAGGCAGGCAGTTTACATATGAGAAGGTTGACTTGACCAACATTAGGGCTATGCTGAACAGTAACGATGTCAGTGAATACCTGAAGATCTCGCCACATGGATTAGAGGTAGGATATAATTTCATGATTTCAACCTAAAAAGGAGTCCGAAGAAAAAGACAGGTTTTAACTATTTTTGTGTGCTACTTGCTCCTGTGATTTCTTAGAGTGAATCAAAGTTCTCTGGCAGCTTTGTTTAGAAAACTTGCTTTGTCAGGAGGGTTGTAACGTCATTACACTGATCTCTATTGTAGAAATGCTCACACTAAAGTAACACCTGTATCTGTGCCCCAAAACTTCAGAAAAGTGAGGAGGATGCTTAAGAGTTAGCTGGGTTTTCATTCATTTTTGTTCACAAAGTATAATTCCTATTGTTTGTCCTGTCTAATCTTGAAAAGCCCATAGCAGTAGGATTTTTGTCTCAGCCATGTGATTTTTTTTTTTTTCCTTCCTCTGTTACTTTTTCTAAAAACTTGTTTGACTACTTACAGATGAATTTTCATGAATTAACATTGAATACCTCTCTGTCCTTCATAACAGGAGTCAGCTAACAACTAATGACTTAGGTCTTCCTGTCTTGGTTGTCTTTGTCTTTAAATCGACTCTGTCAACTTTCTACTTTTTTTTTTTTTTTGTGGCTTACCACCAATTTTCAGTCTTGCCTACTCGCTAGTTTGTGTGACAATTATTGCTATAAAGAGAGGTTGCTTGCTGTCTGAAGTGCCTCTAAAATTATGTTGGTGTATTCTTATATGCAAGAAACTTGATCCAGGGAAGAAAGGGGCTTGTTTGAATGCTAATTTTATAGAAACTTAATTTTTGGTTTGGTTTTGGTAGGCTCGATGTGATGCCTCATCCTTTGAAAGCGTTAGATGTACATTCTGTGTCGATTCCGGAGTTTGGTACTATGAAGTTACAGTCATTACTTCAGGAGTGATGCAGATAGGATGGGCTACCAAAGACAGCAAATTTCTCAATCATGTGAGTACATGTAATGTCATCTAGCCAATGATGTAATTTCAGTATTTTTCTACTTACAACACCTATGAAAATAGCTCTGGTTATTCTGCGGTAGTAACTGAGCACTTGCGCGTTTCCTTCAATTTTTCTGTACTTTCGTGAAGCTATTTTTGCTGAATTTAGTGGTACAAGAAAAGGCTGTATTGTCATTGCTACAGACTGACACTGTTCACACAAGTCATGCATAGCTGCCAGCAGTCACAGCTTGTAAGCTACTTGCTGTTGCTTTGCCCTCCCTCTCATCCAGATAACTTAGTTTCTTATTCTTAAGTAGTATTCTTCCTACTATTTTACTTTTAGAATTATGTACTTACTAGCATTAAAACAAAATGTGCCATATGCACATGAAGTCCAAACATATAGTCGAAGAATAATCTCGAATGTTGTAGAGATGTAACTAGGACTTCTTAAATCTTCATTGTAACTCTGTACGGCTGTTGTAAACTCAGTATGCTGTAGCATAATTTGCTTCAGTATTTCCATAATACTAAGAAAGCGTTATGATTACTACCTAATAAACTTGTCTGCTTCAGCTTAGAGAGTACTTTCCGTATTATCAGCCTTCCAAATTTCTATTAAAGTTCATTAAAGTGCAAGCTAGAATTTTAGTACAAAAGGCACGTATGGCCTAGCCTACTGCCACTGACCAGAATGGAAATTCAGCACTGGGATTTTAAGTTGACACTTCCACTGGCTGAGCTTGAGTAAGAAATGTACCTGTAGCCCTTCTTTATTGTTGTAATTGCATGGCTTTCTCTTAAACTGAATTCCAAGTAGGAACAGAAGAATTATATATATATACACACACACACACTCTTAATGTAGAGATATCAAGTTAAAACTGCTCACTTCTGACATTCTACAGCTGAGTCAAATGCAGAAGCTAATATGAAGATAGGCCAAATACATACATGTGAGTAAATATTCATGGTGGGGGGGATGAGAGAAATACATCAAGGAGATGAAACAAAACACCTGTGGCAAGAAACCCAACAGGAATGGGAGAGTAGTTTTTCTCACCATTTAACTTAAGTACTCCTGTGAGTTCAGTGGTCTTGCTCCATTTCTTCGAATTATTCATGTAAATAGCATTATCCTCTGGTGGTGTATAACATGCATATATCTCTACATCACATCCGAAGTCCAGTCCCACATTTCTAGCATGGAATTGCAAGTGTGATTTTAAATTTAAAAACAAACAAACAAAAAAAGCCCAACAACAAAAAAACAACAACAGAACAAAACCAAAAAAACACAATCAAATGTCACGAATGAATGGTTTAGGGGCTGCTTAAAGAATCACCATCAAAGGTATTAGCAGAAAGTGATTTTAATAAAAATTTATAAAAGTGCGACTTAACAGAGTTCGATGGCAAAGTTCACTCCATCACTTACTACATGGAGGAAGCATGGAGGAAAATCAAGGTTAGAATTTAGCTAGAATGATTTACACAGAGACCGAGGATGGAAAAGGGTAAGGGAGACCCTCCTGTTGAGTCACAAGATTCAGAGAAGACCCCCTTGCTCTCTAAAATCCTGATGGAGCTTAAGTGTGGCTGGATCCTCTCCTAGTCCCAGACTTGGTCAACGGTTTATGTCTAAGGGATTTTTTTACACTGAGGGTGGTGAAACCCTGGCACCGGTTGCCCAGAGAGGTGGTAGATGCCCCATCCCTGGGAACATTCAAGGTCAGGTTGGACGGGGCTCTGAGCAACCTGATCTAGTTGAAGATGTCCCTGCCCATGGCAGGGGGTTGGACGAGATGACCTTTAAAGGTCCCTTCCAACCCAAACTGTTCTATGATTCTGTATGTTTAGCAGCAGTCTAAGGTTCATTCACAGTTTTAAGATCATAAGATTTTAGTAGCTCTTAATCATTGACTAATTTAACGTTTACAGAGTAAGTTAGCAGTCTGCTACAACCACAACAGAGACTTAATTATACATTTGAGATGGTAGTATTTATACTATATTTGCT